CGAGGGCCAAATTACTTCCTGGCTTAACTCTTTTTTTGCTTAATTTGGCTCAAGTTTAGTGGTGCAGACAAACTTTGAAAATGGTATTATCAATTATAGGAGATATCATACATAAATCCATAGGTTATGGTCCTGCTTCACAGGAGGGCATCCACCCCTCTTGCACCACCACATTGAAGGAGATGAGCGGGGAGAAGGTGGGGTGGAGGCATGGCTTTTTGTGCAAAACATGATGTGCTTGACAAGACAATACAGTTATGACCAACGGTTTTATGGGGAGGCTTGTTTCAAATGTCCTACTGTATTCTATTCAGAGAAGAAAGAACTACCATAGCATGCATTATAAAGCTTTAACTCAGGACGTGGAGTATTGCATCCATATCTGGCACCCCAAACATAAGAAGGACGTGGACCTGTTAGAGCAAGTCCAAAGGTGGGCCAGAAAAAATATCAGAGAGCTGGAGCACCTCTCCTATGAAGAGGGGCTTGTTCAGCCTGGAGAAGGGAAGGCTTTTAGAAGGGAGACCTTATAGCAGTCTTTCAATACCTAAAGGGGACTACAAGAAGTCTGGAGTGGAGCTTTTTACAAGGGCATGTAGGAATAGGACAAAGAGGAATGTCTTTAAACTGAGAGAGGGGAGATTTAGATTAGATATGAGGAAGAAATTCTTCACTATGAGAGGGGTGAGATACTAGCACAGGTTGCCCAGAGAAGCTGTGGCTGCCCCAATCCTGGCTGTGTTCAAGGCCAGCTTGAGCAACCTGGTCTAGTGTGACCATGTCCATGGCACGGGGGTTTGAACTAGATGGTCTTTAAGGTCCCTTCCAACCCAAACCATTCTATGAGTCTGTGACATTTGTCATGTTAAATGTGCAGGTCCTGGTTTAATCTGTGAATTGTTAGCTGGCAACCATCATACCTCTTGCTCCTGAGTACGGGGAAGCACACAGAAAACCACCCATAACTGAGATTGTTTCCTGACTCTTTGGGGATTTTAGCTCTACTGTACTCCCATAGCAGGACTTTGCCTAACTGAAAATCCAATCACTAATGGTTTAGGATATCATTCATATCCCCAGAGGAGGTATATCTTGCAGCAGAGACAGCTCAGCATAAGTTGTTGAGTTTTAGTTAATGGCCTCATTCTGTCTAATGTGTTTGCTCTTGCAGGTGTCACTTACAGATGAACTGTGTGTTTTCTATCTCCCCATTATTTATTTATTTATATTTACATGGAAAACATTTGAATTAGACCAGCACATAAGCACACTGTCTAGGAACAGATTAATGGAAGTGGAAACAGAAAGAGAGAGATAGTTGATTGAATATTATTCTGCATTGCAACCCTGTGAAGAAAATGAGTGGTGGACATTTTACAAGGGTCTCTTTATAAGGATGAAAATGGAAAATCTCTCTTTGTTTTATTATTCCTATCAGCATAGAATTATTTATTACCTAATCCTAGAGGAACTATGATTTGACTAATTTGTTGTGCATTTTTGCATGAAGTCAAAATAGCTTTCGAAGTATGCTTAACAGATAACTGTAGAAGATAGTACGGACCTCCTTTTTTCCTTCATCCAAGGGTCATGTCACTACATGAGCTCATCCCATTGCCCAGTCACTGCTTGCTGTGGGAGAATTATGCTACCAGCAACAAGGCTGGTAAGATTAAGATACACTGACATCAGCACGTGGTTCCACATAGTTGTTAGGCCTAAAAGTTCTCATAATACTACATCATTTCTTCCTGATTTTGCCCTGATACTGTTTGAAAGGCCAGAAGGAAAATTTTGTCTGTAATCTTTGACATTTTGGCCATACAGCTGAAATAAAGCCTTTAAGATTTCAGTATTCTTTAGAAACTAAAATTATGTTAGACAAGAATTCTTCTTGCTTTCTAGTTAAATCAGATGGTAATTTAGGTTTGATTTGGTATAAATAATCTCATATTTATTGATGTTATTATATTGCCCAGAATCATGATCATGGTCCAAGTGATCATGTGCTGCATACTTAAAAGTAGAAAATAAAAATTAAAAAGCCCACAACAAGAGCTGAGTTGTAACAGGACTAGTGCAGTTCTCTTCCCATTCCAGTAAATGGCTGCTAGTTATCATGATCCTGTTTAAACTGCGAGAAGTAAGGAAGACACATCCAGGATGCCACTTTGCCCCAAAACCTCAGCCTGTGTGTGAGTACTGACAGATGGAAGGATTATTGGAAGCATGGCTAGAATCTGTTTGGGGTGGAAAAGCATGAGCAGCTTTGACACCATATAATTACTGTGATGGGCTTGTCGACACTGCAGATCTTCTTTAAATACAAAGTGTAGTTAATGCAAGCTGGAGGAAATCTCAGGCTCTTCCCTGGTAGTACCTAAAATCATGTTCTGGAGAAGTGTAGTAGCTGTTTTGTAATATTGTAAAAACACACTGCACAGTGAAATAAAGCCATAATTCAAGTGGTCTCCATTCCAACAATAATAAGCAGGGGTGCACGATCCAATATTTAATCCCTGACTGCCTGATCATAGTTTTATTTATTATTATAATCCATTATTTTTATAGTATCCTTGGTGGAAAGTGCTTCTCAGGAAAACTCCGTATAAAGTTAAAAAATTACCACCTAGGGAATTTCAGAAGGAAACAACAGCAACATGAACACTTTCTGCTGGGGTAAAATCCATCATCTTGGAGCATGGCAAAGCTTGGGGTTTACATTCAGTTAGTTGTTTGACGCCCCTGAGGATATGGGAAGGGTGTAGTAAGGTTAGCAGTGATAAACAGCATAAATACACGTCTGCCTGTGTAATCCTCGCCAGGTTTAAGGACAAGCCCTGGCCAGAGGCGGCTCCGAGGCCGGGAGGCAGCCGCGGCTGGGAGGACAGGGCTGAGCAGCGGCAGGAGGGACTCGTGCGCCCTCACGAGGACACGGGTGCTTATTACAAGTAGAAGTAAGCCCTCCAGGTCTACGGTTCCCGCAGCCTTCCCGTCTGCAGAGCGAGGAGCACAATCTCCAACAGTTACAGGCATCAGCCTAGAACAAGAGAATCCCCAGTATAATATTAGGAGAGGTACGAATTATGTAGAGAGACTCAGGCAGCTCTGACGGTTCATTTGGCATCACTGCCAAGCTTGCTTCTTGGGAAAGGTGTTTCAAACAGAAGAATGGCATGCACTGACATGCGCAAGGTGAATGAATATTCCTTACATCCTGGTAAAGCTGCTAGATATAAAGTGAACAAATAAAATGGGGAAATGAAAGCAGTGGCTTAGCCATGAAAGAAGAGATGATTTTTTTACCTATAATAATTTCATTGCCTCAGGAGAACTATGGCTCTGAGAGTTGAGGTTGTGTTTGCACGGAGTGACTGACGGCGTAACAGAATGATGTCCAAGACAAGGAATAATGAATTCCAGCATTCTTTCTTACATAAAAGATCATTGCATCTGTTATTGTTTATGCTACTGATGTTGCTACAGTTATACACAAACAGCGCTCAACACTCACAGGCAGTATGAACAGACACTGCAGCAACCCCTTTGCACGCTAAATGACATAGCCACCTTCTGACCATCAGCAGCTCAGCAGCTCCAGGGACATCATGTTCCCACACATCACTGACAGTCATCAGAGTACATGGAAAACAGTTACTGACCCAGATCCAGGGCCACAGGCATGACTTCTCTGCCTTTTGTCCAGTTTGTTTGTGGCCAGATCCACTCCTCCGCAGTTTTTGGGCTAATTTTCCCCAAATTTGGTGATGATTTCTGGTCATCCTATGAGACAGTTCATTTAGTTTGTAACACCCATCAATCTCCAGCTAGGTTTTCTTTTACTGTTTGTTTTGACCACTTACCTTAAAGATCAACAGTTCCTTACCTTTCTCATTATACCAAATTGCCTTAAAACTATATTTTACACATTTGCCTCCGGCAGGCTTCAGCTGTCCAGGGAAGGTTATGCAAAGACAGGTTTACTGGGTTTGCATGGCAAGGTTCTGGTAGCCAGAGGCTACAGGCGTGCCTGTGTGAAAAGCTGCCAGAAGCTTCCCCTGTGTCTGACAGACCCAGTACCAGCTGCCTTGAAGACAGATCTGCTACTGGCCAAGGATGAGCCCATCACTGACGGCAGCAGCACCTCTGGGATAACACAGTTAAGAGGGGAAAAAGTTACTGCAGAGAGAGAACTGAGAATATGTGAGAGGAACAGCCCTGCAGACACCCATGTCAGTGAAGCAGGAGGGGAGGAGGTGCTCCAGGCACCAGAGCAGAGATTTCCTGCAGCTCATGATGCAGACCATGTTGAGGCAGCTGTGCCTCTGCAGCCCAGGAGGGACCCCACACTGAAGCAGGTGAAGTGTATGAGGAATCCTCCCCTAAGGAGGAAGGAGAAGCAGAGACAACATGTGATTGACTGCAAACCCCATTCCCTGTCATCCAGTGTCACTGGGGGTGAGGAAATACTGAAAATAAGGAGTGAAATTGGGCCTAGGAAGAAAGGAGGGGTGGGGGGAAGGTGTTTTTAAGATTTGATTTATTTGATTTATCCTACTTTGGTTTGATTAGTAATTAATTAAACTAATTTCCCCAAGTTGAGTCTGTTTTGCCCTTGATGGCAATAGGTGAGTGATCTCCCCTTGTCCTTACCTTGACCCATGAGCCTTTCATTGTATTTCTTCCCCCCTGTGCAGCTAAGGAGGGGAGTGATAGAGCAGCATTGTTGGGCACCTGGTGTCCAACCAGGGTCAAGTCACCACACAGGATGAAGAGTCATAACTCCCAATCAGAACAGTACCAGTTTTCATGTTGTCCCCTCACAGCCTGCTAGCTAGGAGCTAGCAACCATCAAAATAGGGGGAACCTAGGGAACTACATAGGAGCAGATTTAATCAGTAAAGCAAATGAACAGCTGACATGAATTATAGGCTCATAGGATGGTAAGGAGTTGAAAATTAGTTTCAGCAGTATAAAGGTGGCAGCCTTTCCATTTAAGCAAAGACTCTGAGAAGTCAGAAAAGCTTTGGTGTCTGTGCAAAGCTTGTGAGGGAGGATTTTGTTTGTGTGCGGAGCTAAAGGAAAAAACAACACCAGCAGAGGCTGAGCTTACATATAATGGAGCTGGGTCTGGTGCAGAGGTGAGAGCTTCAAGGCTGCTAAATATAAGTGGTCATTAAATGTATGAACTTTTCTGGTTTACCTTCCCTGCCTTTCTAGAGGTGACTGAGGAAAAGCTATTCTGTAATTTCAAAATCTGGATCTGTAGCTCTAAATTTAAGACTAGCTTAATATCCAGACTGGAACTTTCTTAACACAGAAATATTTTACCAAGCTGTTGTCACAGCTGGGACTGTTGCTAATCCCTGTCTTCTCTTACAGGTTGTTACTAATACAAATACTAATCTCTGATATATGGACCCAAGAGAGACCAGGTAGTGCTGCTATAAACTGCTTCCAAGTAACAGTTTTCAGGCCTTCTCATGGGTGATATCTGTGTGTTTCAGAAGAGTGCACATTCTTCTGAGAAACTCCAAACATACTGGTGTCTATTAGTAACTCCGCTTTAGGCTTATGTACCATCATATAAAGCAAATGTTTCTACCCTTCTGTCTCTCGCTCTGATAACAAGCACTGATGAATTAATAGGAACTTCATTGTTGTTCTTGTTTTCTTGACCCTACTTATTGAACACACAATATGTAAGGCCTTTTAGATGCTATAAAGGTGTCATCACTTTGCCTGAGAAGGAACAATTTTCTTAGACAAAATTGCTGTCTGCTTTAACTTTTTCTTTATAAAACAGAGTTGGTCCTGGGACAGAAGATACAGAGAGAGATGGTTCTAGGACTGTTTGCCCTACTCACTGCAGGTGCTATATAAACATATTAGCATTCACCAAAGATCAAAATAAAAAGATACTGGAGGAGGATTTACCCATCTTGGAGCAATTATATGGCCACTGAGCAGGATCAAGTTAGAACTATGGGCAAAAATGAAGTTGTGTTTGCTAGCATCTGTCTGGTGTTCCCTAGTATGACTGACAAGGGAGTGTCATTTGTCATTTCTGGTTAATTTAAGGATATAGTGCTGAGCTCTCCAGGAAAAAGGATCCTCTAAGCCCTTGAAATGTTCCATTACTATAAAAGGTCTAATTGGCATTAGCTCGCTATGGCATAGAGAATTGTTTGAAACAACAATTCCGAGTTTATTGGAAATATATGTCAAATAAAGACTCTTCTCTGGTCTTGAGTCGTACATGTAGCATGGTTTGTACCTGCTTCCTGTGTTTAAGAGGATTGGCAGCCATAGCCTGTTTATGTTGCAATCACAGCTTGGGACTTGAGCATCTCAAGCCATCCTGCTTGCTCCTGTGTGGTCTTTTCCTAGCATGAGTCAACTGGTTTCTGGTACTTGGGCAGGTGAACAGGATAGGCTGATGGGTAGCTGAGGTGCCTCGTCCCCACCCTGACTTGGCTTGTAGCTTTTCTTGTGAATAGCTGTGTATGGGTTTTTTGTTTGGTTGGTTTGTTGTTGTGGTTTTGGTGGGATTTTGTTGTTGGTTTTGTTTTTTGTTTTTTTTTTTGGGGTGGGGCTGGGGTTAGTGGTTGTTTTGTGAGGCTTTGTTTTTTTGTTTAAGTGTGGGTTTGTTGGTTTTTGGGTGTTCGGGTTTTGGTTTTTTTGTTAGATAAGGATTGAATTTTCCTCTTTCCAGGATTGTAGAGGGGATTTTCTTGATTTCTTTTATTCCCATGAAGGTGCTCAGACTGGGGAAGCTAATTTAGTATTTTTTTGACTGTGTTCCAAAATCCCATTTCCATGACTAGCTGTTGTAGGTAGCATTGCCAGCTAATTAGACAGTTACTACTGGAATGCTAATTTCAGGTCTGGCTTTTCTCCTGGAAGTATTGCCAGTTTAAAAGTTAAAAACAACAGTAAAGCCTCCTGGAATAGGACTGTCACAACACTGAGTTTTTATAAAGCAATCTGGGAAGTAACAGATTTCTCATTGAATGTTACCTTTAATCCACTACTCACTAGCCTTTCAATATGTCCAATGCAGGACCAATGAGTGCAGAATGCTTTGGGAACCTTTTGCGTATAACACTAAGTGCAGAATACTTTGAGGACAAATACTTATTCTTCTCTGTTGTTGGTAAGTTGATACAGAAGAACTTGAGGAGGGATTTGCACATGATGAAATGTTTAAAGTTCTCTGAGATACTCTTCTACTGGAATTCCCTGGCTTATTCTAAGACCATAGAGTTTAGTAGGTTTGTCCTCATTGTTAAGTAAAGCCAAAGGCTACCTTTATTTCTGTAGAACGTATCCTGTAGACTTGTGTGATAACTTAGCAATATCAAGTCTAATCATGGTGATCTTTGGCCTCATGGTAGTTTCTAGGTGTGTTTATGATGGTGGATTTCCATTCTGGTAAAAATGTTTCCCAGTAACAGCACATACTGCTCTGAAAACTTGTTATTTGAAGATGGGACTACACTACTGATTTTGCATTAGTGACTTTCCACCTTTTTTGCTTACAGCTAAGGGACTTGGAGGTGTATAAATTCTTACTGAATTCTATGAAAAAATAAGCTGGGCCCTCTGGCTATGGCCTCAGTAGTCAACAAGTGGTGCAATTGAATAGAAAGCACCATGCAGAGCCCTGGAAGGACAGAGTGGGAACTTCTGGGATACATAAGTCTCAGGTGTAAGATTATATGCAGAAAATGTAAACTCGGCCTTGAACTGTGTTTCCTTGCTAGTTAGCTGTCTAACTAGATTTAGCCAATAGCATTCAGTCACACCCATCTTTCTAGAATGTTAAGCTTGTGTAAAAACATACTTAATAGTGTCTTTGTTCAGGCATTCATACACAAAGAAAGACACTCTGGGATATGCGAAGCTTGGAAGCAGAAAATAACTGTCTTGGGAAGAAAAAAAAAGGCAAAATAACTAAACCAAAAACAAACAAAAAAATGTGCAAAACCATCAATGTAGCTTTGTAACCTAAGAAAAATTCAAGCTAAGCTTTGGTGTTTTTGTCACCCTGGTAAGACCCCTGAAGAGAATTCGTTGGCGAGGCATGCACCAAGAGAAACACAGGCCTGTGCCAGCCATAGATCCAACTCCTGATGTTGCTAGTCTGTCATCATGTGCCAATCCTGACAACTTTGGCACTGATGACCTAGGTTTTTTTTCCATTTAGGATTTTATATCTTACTTTGTTGGTGACATTCTCTCCCTGCCCCCCTGCATCTTTTGTTGCAACTCTTTTACCGCTTTGCAATTCTTCTATGTCTGAGCCCAGGATATACAGCTGGGCCATATTGGAGCAGAGTCAACTGAACCATGGGGCCAGGGCAGGTAGCTCAAGGAGTTAGCAGAGCAGAAGTTATACTCGTTAATATGGTTCTTGATTAATTGCCCATAGATCAATCTGGCATAGCCTGGGAGCTCAATGAGGCCATGGCATCACAGTGTGGCTATACAGTAACTTACAGCAACTGGAGTTACATCGAATTTCATGCTTCTGCACTGAGCTGCCATTCTCACTTAGAAGTAAGTCTATTATAAGTGTTTTGATTGCAGTGCTGTTATGTGTGATTTATGTGAAGCAGTACCAAATTATTGATAGATATTGAGGTGTGGAATGTCTTGAGCATCTGTTAGCAGAAAAAATAACTCTCAAATATATCCAGAGGTCCTAGAATATTCTACGGTATTGACATTTGAATGGCCTACACATGAACACATAAAGAAGCATATCACATATGCCCTTGAAGAGCAAATCTTTCCTTTTGGATAAGAATAGGGAATTCTGTCTGGCAGCTGTGTTGCACTCTGCCCAAGTGTTTAGTGCCTGAGACACACCAGAGTAAAAAAAAAAAAAAACCTTAAAAGCTTTGGCTGCTTTAATTTCTCACTCCTACTGTATCATAAGACTATGCTTTAGGGAGAGTTTTTTTTTGTCCAGTTCTGGGGCTATATGAAAGGCTGACTACTCCCCAGAGTATTTATGTTGCTATTTAGCTATGCAGCTACATGCACGTAGCCTATGTAGTTAATCAAGTAGAAAGTAATAAGGCTTCAATATGGAGTTGCTCTTCTGTGCAGAGCCTGGTGGATGGGTTTTGTAATGTACTGTTAGGTCACCAGGATAGATGGTCCCTAATTAGAGAAAACCAGTCTAACAAGAAAATGTTCTCTCTGTGCATGCAGGAAGATATGTTCATAATAACTGTAGAAATTAAAGCATCTCATGCTGCTGATATGAAAAATGCTACAACTCATGTGAAAAGTGCAAGTTGCTCTTATGGTCCATGGAGGTCGAGAGAGCTAGTATGTGAAAGTAACTACATGGAGGTAAGTACTGGAAGTACTGATAGGAAGGTACTTAAAAGTAAGGTAAGAAGGTAAGTACTGGAAGATGCTCTCTTTGAAGCTGATTAGATATTAGGAATGTGTATTGGAAGCAGAAATTGAGTGCTCAACCATGAATAGCTCACTAGTGAATGCACAGCATGTATCTTGAGTTTAGTGATGCATTCATATTATGCTTATTTAGGCCACCTGTAAATATTAATAACCAACTAAGTTGTGAAATGTTATTCAAAATGTTAAGCTAACTTGCTGTATGTTGCCTCAACAAATCTCATTTGTGATAACAGAAATGTTTACTTTCTGATGGAAATTTTCCTGCTGAATTTGCTGACGAGAAATGCAGAGAGGGAGCAAAGGACTCCTTGGAAGAGTACATGGGAGTCAAAAATAAATTTCTGGCCTTAAGTGAAAGTAGAAATGGGAAGACAGGCGAAAAATAAAAACAAGCTGAAACCAAAGGGATTATAGAAAATACACCATGCATGATGACATCTTGTGCCATAATCTTTTACTTGGCAGGAGGAAACCTTCTTCTAGGAAATGCTAGTTTCTCTTAGAAAAGACTTGTTTCCTTGTCTTCAATGTCTTTACAAGTACCATCAGCAGACCCCTTACAGAGGCTCTTTCCCTTCAGGTTTCTGTCAGGAGGGAGGTTCCGCAGATTGTAAAGGACATCATCGAAGATGAACCTGAGGACTGGTATCTTGGCTTTCTGGAGGTAAAACCACAGTATTTTTTTCCTAGTAAAAGCTAATGCTACTTCAGGTACGATCATCTTTCTATTCTATGTCCACACAGTACAAAATGTCCTTTTGGAAAGCATTTAAGTAAGAAGAGCAGAACTTCTGTACCAAGTGGTTTTAGTATAGAGATTTTGATGTGTTAGAAATAGCTGTAGGCCATGTCTCCAGTGAGGAAATGGAAACAGAGTCTTTCTCAAAAAGCCTAGAAATAAAGTCTTCCCAAGACGAAAGACTGCAACAAAAACTGTCTTTAAGACCCCATGGCGCAGGAGTGAACCATGGATAGGATTTTTTCTTCTTGGACCTTGTATTTGCAATGCAGTTAATCTTTATGCTCTTAATATTGAAAATTTTCTGGGGGAAATGGGGGAGGGAAGTTAGAGGGGTATCCCACTAACAGTATTTAGAATGAAGCAACAAAATTGCTGGGGAGTTCAATAAAATAAATCATTCAACATAGTAAATCTGTTACTTCAAACAGCATGTTTAAACTGTTGATGAATTTCTCGGGCTAGGCAAAAGCAGGAGAAGCCTCAATATGGCAAATAGTTTTTCATCAGCCAGAAGAAAAAACAGCTCTGCTTGTGAGTGATGCTTGGAGTGCAGGTTATGGACTCAACACCACAGACACCCGGGTTGTGCTGCGAATACCGTATACTGCTGCACAAATTCAGCTGGTCAAGGTTGGTATGCTCATTCCAGCCCAGCAAGCTGCCAGGCTGTGAGGTCTAAACAGATCTCTTCCTACAGGATCATGGAATTACCTTCTCTGCAGTGAGAGCAAGTATATTTTACAAACAACAATGGATGATCCTGATGGTGGATACTGCTGTGGCGTGTCCTGTAGGTGAGAAATGCAGTACATCAATATGTAAATGCACAGGAACTGACTTACAACCATAGTAATGAGCTTACAGATTTCATATCTTGTCCCTAAGATGGTGTGGACTACATTAACAAAACCATCATCTGGACTGTTCCAAAATACATGCAACCAGTCTCTGCTGGAGAAACTAGCTTTAAGGATGTGCTTGTTGAAGCTGGTGTGGATCTAAACAAACTCTCTGCCAATGAAATGGCTTCCAGGAAATATGTCTTATTGAATGACTTAAATGCAATTATGATGAGGATACCAATAGGTGCAGAAGGTGGCTCTTACAAGGTTAGTGACTTGCGTTAGGTGCCAGACAACAGACTTTCTGTGGGTTGTTTATCTTTTTTTGGGGGGGGGTGATGGCCTGAGACTTAAACATTTAAATCTAGTTGCTTGGAGTGAACTGAATCCTGGGCAAATGCAGTAAGAAATGAACTGCAAAGGAAGTTGCAGGAGGAGCTCTTTCACTACTGAAATGGTCCCCTGCTGCTTTGAAACTTGGGGATGGGAGATAATTTTGCAAAGGAAGTGTTACAAATATTCTGAGATAATCTAAACTTGTAGAGATACAGCAAGTGCCACTCTAGGAGTTTGTCATCTCTGAGCTGAGAGAGCACAATTGTTTGGATCTGTAGCTCTAGCTGACCTTGAGATGCTACAATACAACTTTAATGTGAAATTGTGTTATACTAAAGAGTCTTGATTTGAAATTCTAGACTTCTGTGAGCAGTGGACAGCATGGGACAAAATACGCTATCAACCTGTTCTTGGAACATCAGTGGGAAGATAACAAATGGGGACTAAGTAAATATATTATCATCAAGGAAATAGAAACGCCATTTGAACAAGTGGAACTTGCTATAAGCAACAGTAAGTAGCCTAACAATTTACTGAGATCTCTGGCACTGTTAAGACTTTAATGTTATTGCATTCCTTTTCAGATTCAAATCTGAGTTTGAGGCTAATGAATGTTACAGTGGGAACATTCCTCCCAGATGTGAAGCTTGTGAAGTTAACCATTGAGGGGACAACTGTTGCCTTACCTGAAGCTGTTCAGCATGGTTATCTAACATACGAGATCAGATATGCTAATGGAAGCAAAGCCTACACAATACAAGTCTCACTTGATGCACCAAGCATTAAGAAAGAGGTGCGTACCAGGACACTGCAGCATACTATGGTATAGAAGCAATGATATTGCCTGGTGATTTTAATTTCTAAATATGATTTTCCTAGTACATGGGAGCAGATATGAGAGCATACACCCTGAATGTTACACTTGGATTCATAATTCATCCAACAAGTGAGACCTTCACTGTCCCAGTCATAACAGTGTCAGCTGTTAAAGATGCAGGTAAACTAGTGGAACTTGGGCAAAATGGTACCAGCCTGGTTATGGACTTTGCTATTAACTGGGCTAACTTCAGCCAGGGATACTGTCAATCCTAAATAGCCCTATTAAACTCTGACAGCAGAAAGCACACTGATTGACTCTTAACTGTATTGCAGTGCTACCCAGTGCGAGAGGATTTTGTGATGGGAAGAACCTTCATCTCGTTATCACTCATGGGAATGTGGGCCAAAACTGGCTCCCCTTCATCTCAGACAGGCACCTGACCCCAGAGTCTGTGAAGAAGTACAGCTACAGCCTGAGAGACAATGGCACTCACTTGGCAATCTCTGTCCCTTTCCTTTCTTCCCATGTGAACTATGAGGTAAGGATGCCAGCATATAGCAATTAAAAAGTGTGCTCTGGCTGTGAAATATGAACATTGATACACTATGTCCTTGAAAGTGAAATAAAACTTCCCTTTGAGATAGGCTTCAAAGGGTTAATGGAGGACTCTTCTACCCTTGGAAGAACACTTGAATTTTCCTTTGTTAATGTTGGCAGAAGTAGGAAAGGAAAACAAACATTCTGCAAGCATTTTAAGGCTGAGCTATCTTTTAATGACAACTGTTCATGCAGTGGGGTTCCTATTGCACTCTATTGTGAAATGACTGAAAAAAAGCTCATTGTGTGAGCTTCTAGATTAAAAAAAAAATCTCCTGTGGATTTGACTGGGATCAAGCACCATTACCTTTGTCTTGTGGTAACCTTCTCTCCTAGTTTCTGAATACATTAGTTGAACAATGTGTTTTTATTACCTTGTTTAACCTGTAATTGTCATCTCCAGGATTTTCATGCCTCTGGAATAAAGGCTTCACTCCACCTAACCTTGAAGGATGGCATCACCTTGGCTAATAAGAGGGAATTCTCAGTTTCCTGCAGCTTTTCACCTTCCCAGCTAATACGTAATAACATGTTGGGGATTAGCTGTTAATGCTCTTTGAGCTGCATAACTAAGTTGCACAAACCTGGGAAGTCTGAAATGTTTCTAGAGTTTAGACTTGTGTGATATTCTATTTGGCTCTCAGATTTCCTATAAAATAATATGCTAAAAAGCAAGTTAAATTGCAGGTTGGAATGACTATCCTGTCTAGTACAGGAGGTGGGAAATTCTACTTCACCTCACAATTCCAAGATCATGATCATTTTTAAAGGATTCTTGTAGTTGGTTTGGCTGTTGAATGGTTGGGTTTTTTTGTTGGGGGGAGGGGAGGATCAGCACATAAATTAACCATGCTAAAGTTACTCATGGGTATTGAATATATAGAGTATCTCAGCTAGAAAAGTCCTTTTGGGACAGGGTGATAGCTCCTAGGAGGAGAAAGGGAAGTGAAATCACCAGTTTCACTTGTGCTGCTCACTCTACTAGCAGTTAGTCTGAAGATTGGGTTTTAATACTGAAGACAGTCTTGCTCAAAACGTGTGATGTGCCAATAACCTTGCTAGCAAATCCATGCAGAATCTCTTCATTGTGTTAGGCCATAAAACATAGGAATGTGAGTCCTGATTTGTATGAAAATATTTTTCTCTTTCAGAGTGCCTACCCAACGGTACTGTGGTTATTACTGCAGTAAAATTGGTGGGAGCTGCAGACCTGGACACTAGCCTGTTTGTTTTGAGGGATAGACAGTGTAAACCCAGTCTAGTGACAGAGAGGACTGCAACCTTCAAGTTCAATGTGAACACCTGTGGGACAAGTAGAAAGGTAAGGGTTAGTCATGTGAAGCTTACTGTGTGTTGGGGTAGGGTTATTACTAGAATGGCAGAGGTTCACAGGTAAACATAAACTGCAAGAAGATCACAGCTGACTTTGTTAACTACTACATCTACACTCGTTTTCTGAGGCTATTAAATTCAGTTGGACAGAAGTTCTTATTTGGCTGGTAATTTATTTTCAAGGTGAGAGGTGTTTTCTGAAATTAGCCTTCAGTACGATACTTCTGAAATGCTTAGTAATGGACTTGAATGTGAGTTTATGCAGTTGAGAGATACTTATATGCCCTCCAGAAGTTGGCTATGTATTGCTAATGAATACCTGGGCCAAGACTAGAGTGGGTCCTGTTCCTGCCTTTTCAGTACTGCACAGATGGGAAACAGACAAAATAATGGGTTATGCTCAAATTTGGTTCACCGCAACTGCAGCTTGCTCCTGCAACTGTTACATCTCATGCTGTACATTCATTCTGTCAACAGAAACAATTGAGCTTTCTCTTAGGCCCAGTGCACTTCCTTTCTGGGGTGTTATGTCATATGCAAGTTACTGTTAGCTAATAAACTGTTTCTTCTTGACTATGGCATAGTTGTCAGCTTTAGCTCAGTAGGCATACAGCTGTTAGCCAGCAATTTCTGGCCATTCCAATGTGTACTCTGCTCAATGCAGTCTGCCATTCAAGAGAAGGGATGTGAATATTGTGTCAAAACCAAAGTAAACTCTAATGTAACTGTCCTGTCTGTAATGATGTGTCTTTCAGTTCAATAGCACAACTATGATGTATGAAAATGATGTACTCTACTTCAGACCCGGCAGTGATACACCAGTATACCGGTAAGTCTCATTCCCTAGAAAAAGGTTGCCTGAAGTATTTTACTTTCTAAAAATTTCATGCTAAACCTCTTCCCTCAGGCTGAAATTTGTATGCTGGTATGCAATCAAGCAGGCTGTTGATGTCCAATATGAATCTAAGAAGAACCCACCACCCAGTATTAAGCCAGGGTTTGGCTCTCTTGCTCTTTCACTGAAGCTTTTTAAAGGTAACATTAGACTCCATAGAATCACTGAATAGTTGAAGTTGGAAGGGTTCTCAAAGTGATTTTTGTCTGCGTACTCTGCTCAAGCAGGGCTACCTAGAATAGATGGCCTAGGACCTTGTCCACGTGACTTTTGACTCTCTCCAAGGATGAAGAGGAAACCCCTCTAAGGTCTCCAACAGGTTTTTCCATTCCAGAATGCAAAATAAATGGCCAAGTACCTGTAGTGGAACAGATGTAGCATTACTGATGTGTGGTTTCCCTGCCTGGTCTAGGCATGCTAAAAGTTGTAGAGTGGATGTAATGTGAGCTTCTCTCCTATCAGCTTCTTAAGTGTTGATGAGCAGAGAGCACTGACTGAAATAATTTTGTCAGAGAAGGAAACTACATCAATACTGCTTTAAAATGGTAACTATGGTAGTAGAACAGGCTGAAGTATGAACCAAACCCTCACCAGGACTGGAGTGACCCTAATGAAAATTTCTACTCCTCTCCCCCCACCACTCCATACCTTCAAAGAGGTGCTTTTGAAGGAGCATCTTATTCCAATGGGTTTCTGCAGAAGGAGGAGTGTCTCATTTCTGTATCCTCAGAGACAAGGAATGCAGTTTAGATCTTTACTTTCATTGATGTTTGTCTTTCTGCTACCCTATCCCCATCTGTTGACATTCATGCTCTCTCCCACATTTTGGTGTTACTGTGCCAGAGAAAATGGTGGTGGAAAGTGAAGCGGAAAGCTTGTGAATACGTATTCTGTAAAAAGGCAACTCTAACATCAATACTCTCTTCTAGAGAAATCCTACACAGAGCCCTACCAGGAGCTGGAATATCCTGTGGTAAAATACCTGAGGGAGGCACTGTATTTTGAAGTTGAACTGCTCCAGCCTAAAGATTTGAGACTAGAACTAAACCTGGATGACTGTTGGGCTACAAACTCCCAAAGCCAGGACAGTCTTCCACAGTGGCCTATGCTTATAAATGGGTAAGGAGGGCTTTCCTCCTGTGTTTGGCAGCTGTTCAGCACAAGGCCCCTTACCTTAGGTGGGGGAGGGAAAAGGAGAGGACTCAAGTCAGCTTGAATGTGTTGTTTTATCCTGATGATTGGCTGCTGCTAGGCAGAGGAGTGCATGTCAGCATCGGCACAGAGATTATGCTTTCTGATGGCAGCAGTCACTGGGGTGCACAGGAGTGGGTCTAAAGGCCATATGGAAAGAACAAGAAGTAACCCTGACTGTGGCCAAAAGCAGGGATCATAAATAAGAGAGTCTCTATCTTTATTCCTGTGACCTGAGGGAAATGAAGAGAGAAGCTGCTCTATTTTGCTTCCTTTCTTTCTTTGAAAATCTGGTTCAAGTGATGAAAATTTGGATTAAATACACTTTCTTTCACATTCCCTAAAAGGTGTGAAAACAGTGGAGACTCCTACAAAGCTGTCTTCCACAAAGTTAATTATAGCCTCAGAGTAAAATTTCCTCAGCACCTGAAGAGATTTGAAGTGAGGATGTTCACCTTTGTACTAGGCACAACTCTGTTACAAGAGCAGGTAAGGCATCTCTTTCACATGCTGTCAGCAGTCTTGATATGTGAACCTGGAGCGGTTAATGCAGGAAACGCTGTGTAAAGTCTCAGCTGGGCAGGTGCTCTCTGAGGCTGTTAGCTACCTCCTTGAAGGCATAATACTGTAATAGTAGTAAACAAAGACTAGCTACTTAAGACTGCTCAGTTCATCTCCTTTAGAGTCTGTACGTGTGTCAGATGCTTGCCAAATAAGACTCCCCTACACATAATATATTCTTGCCTTGTAGCTGTATTTCCACTGCAGTGTGATGATCTGCAGCACTATGCAGCAGCCTTCAGGCTCTCTTTGTTCAAGGAGATGCAATCCTGGGAAACACAGACTTGGTAAGAAAACTGGCGCTTCTCAAGTCACCCGAGTCTTTGCTCAGCAGTATGGCACATACAATCGTGAGCCTTGCCAGGTGACTGAATTCTAGCATGAGCTGTACAGAAAACTAAAAGCTGAAATGTCTTGCTAGACCGCAGTGCAGAACCACATCAGCGTGGGAAAGTGTCATCCGGACCAGTGCTTATCAGGAAAGAAAACGATTAGCAAAGGTTAGTGTTAGTCTTAAACTATGCTACTGAAATGCCAAGAATCTGCTGTTGTAACATAATGTAGTTCTGTATGCCTCCCTTCTCCCTGCAGGTGAAGACGCTGACTTCTTGACAGAGACTCAACAAGAACTATTTACTTTTATGAAGCTGCAGTTGGGTGGCTAAAGCATGCATAGCCTGCCCAGGCTTATAAGTAAAGACATCTTGAAAGTATCTACTAGGAAAATATATTGATACCCTTTACTCAGAAAAGGGCCCGCTAACAAGTATGGATATATATTTTTGTCTTTAACTTAAATTAATCTTGCTCTCTTGTGCTCCTCTACAGTGTCAAATTCTTAGTCTTTTGTGTGACTTGCATCTGACCTAGTCTGCTCAGCTAACATGTCTAGAACTTGTCTAATCAGTTTGTAGTTGGAAGCATCTGGTTTGGGGTAGGGGGAGAAAGGTGGCAACAGGTAGGAAGTCAACAGTAAATCACTCTGAGCTTTTTTAAAGCTTCAGTATGAACAAAGGATTGCAGGGAGCTTAATGTCAATAAGCGAAAATGTGTTTTGAAGCAAATTGGGGCTGAACATAGTTGATCCTATAGCAGTTATTGACAGAAAAGCTGTAAACTGTGGATCTCTTAGGAGTGTTGTGGCTGCGCAATGTCAAGTTGCCTTCCCTAGGTGGGGAGAAAATGCTCACAGGTAGCATCAGCAACTACATAGGACAAGTAAGCTGTCAGCCTGAACTAAAAAATAAAAAAATCCTTGTAGTGAAGACTTGTCGTAGTAGTAATGATAATACATGGACTCTGTCCATAAAGTGTTAAAGATTCTTGCTTACTAGAAAACATGATGCTCAGGAGCTCCAGTCAGATTATCCTGTGTTGGTGTGAGGTTTTTTGGGTTTTGGTTTGGTTTGGGATTTTTCTTTTTTATAGGAGGAATATTTCTTGGTTACTTTTTTTTGCATCTGAACAGTGATGTGAAAACAGTTCAGATTCAATATTGTATTTTCCTGTTCTAAGGAAAGCTATTGCTTAGCATGAATCACTATCTCTTAGGGCTAAAGATACAATAATGGATGTCTGCTTTTTAACTTTATATTAAATAGAATTTCTGTGAAGGCTAATTTGAGCAAGAAATTATTTTGTCAATCTGTTTGCACTGTGAAGAAGTACGGTGTCTAAAAAGATTGTAGCTCTGTTGCTACAATACCTGTACAGAGATATATGCTATAATTACAAGCTCATGTTAGTGAGTCTTGTCTGTGTTCTGATTGCCTGTTAAGCATATCTGTAGTAGGTGTCTTACTGCTATTTCTGGGAAAATCCGTGTGAGCCTCATGATGAGGAACATGTCAAGTCATTAGCTGTGCATCAAATCTGTTTCCCAATAGAGGGAGGCTACCATGCTAAAGGAGTCATATTCTGTTATTCCTGTGATAGGTGAAGACTAAAGCCATGGAGATATCGAGGAATGAGATGTAAATATGTTAGCATGGGAATAAAAGGGAAATGCAGAACATAAGCCTGACAGCAGACTTGACAAGTCAGTGATTTGTTCTTAGTGCTTTCCCCTACATTAACCCTGTGGGTTAAGTACTTACTATTCCTCAGCCTGCAGGAGCATTCTATTGAGCAGTCAGACACATATATTATGCTGCCAGGGTTTTGGACCTAAGAGAACACAAGTATGGGCACTCAAAGTGGTACGGTGAGTTTACTGTTTATCTTGCATCATGCTGACAGTCTCCCAAGAAATGTTATGCACTGTTATGCAGTGTTTTCTCCAGATGGGTGAGTAGCAATCGTCATCTGCTGTGACAGCACTCTACCAGCAAAGCATAGGCTGTCTTGGGTAGCCTGTGCTGCCTTTTCCCCCATTAGAGTTGTACGGGGGAAAATGTAGCAACTAGGGACTGCTGTGAGATCCAAGCATGAGGCTGGGCAGCCTATTTCAGTACTGTTAACACAGTTTTGATTGTGGCTTCCTGGGTTTCCAATTCCTCTCTTCCAACCAAGATTAGAGGACAGCATCACTTAAGAATAGAAAGCTGGTATTTACAGTCTCATCTAACACACCTTTATTTCTTATTGAAAGATTAGGCAGTACCTTGAGATTCTTTACCTGTTGATGGGGGATTTAAGAATTGTTGAAAAGCCAAATGATGCCCAGGTAAACTGTGGGTCTACTCTTCAGTTCTTCTTAAAGTTCTATTTAGTGCCACTTCTCAATATGAGAAACATTAGTTAGATGGTCCTTTACCTTTTTGATATGTGGGAAAATGAAAATTCAAGGAGGTTCCCCTCCATGGTTGAACTTGGATTTATATAAAGCTGCTTGTCAGATTTTTCCAACAGTATGCAGGGCACAATGGGTTTAAATATCAGTAAAATCTTTTAAAGATGTGACAGTAATGGTCTCTCCACCTCAGAGGTGTCTGTTTATAGTTAAATTCAGGAACTGCCTTCTTGGTTATATATGTAAAGAAAGACAAAATCCTCTTCAAGTGTTGTATCAACACCTCTTTGCCTTTTAAGTGGATATTTTATGGCCGCATGCTTTTCCCCTGGTATTTGGGATGTTATTTTATATCCCTGTTAACACAAGTTGAAAGCAAATCGATCTTCTTTGTTTATGCTTAATGTCTTCTGCAATTCCAACAGGTGAATGATAAAAGTCTAAGGGAAAAGAGAAGTCTGGTGTGATTTGTTTTTATAGGAAAATGTGAACAATAGCAGTACTGCAGACATTTACCACCATTTATTTGGAATGGAAATAAATCGGTGCTACAAGTAGCCTTATTATATGTAGCTACTGAAACAAAGACGGAGCTCTCATTTTTATTATAGTCTATATTCAAAGATATGGCTAGTGTTTTAAAACTTTACCGCTTTGGAGATTTAAAGCAGCAGCACAAAATTCCCTACTAATACTGAAAAATTAATAAAACTGACATCTATGTTTTTCTAGGCCAATTTTCCTTCTTGGTATTTTGCTTTTCTTTTTGTTTTAGATCTTAATGTCTTCACTAAATGCTATGCAATTCTATCCAGAGGAAAACACATTCTCACAGTGAACCAAAGCTTCCCAAATACTTCCATCAAGTTTTGGCCTCTGCTACATGTCTATTTGAGATTTGAATCTTCACCTAATTGCTCCCAAGCAATTGTGCTTTTTCTGCTAGGTTCCTAAATCCCAGATAGACCTGTGCTTTGAAAGAAATGCCTTGCAGTCTAAGTAAGCTGCATCAGTCTTGTTATACTACTTAGTGTAGTGCTAGGAGACCAAACTTGGGCTTATCTTGCTGTGTGAATTAGCACAAAGCCAGGGGCTTTTTCAGGGAGGGGTTCAGATGGGCCTAACTTCTACATCTTGTTAAAACCCAGCTGCTCTATGGGGAGCTGGGACTCCTCAATCTGTTAAATGCAGTAACAGCATTTGTGGTTGCATGGCAAATAAGATAGAGAGTAAAAGTAAGTCAAATACTGCCTCCTTACAAGCTGAGGTATATGCATATTGTTATGATTGTGGGTTGGTTTTGATTTGTTTGGTTTTGGCTTTTTTAGCTACTGCCATGTAGACCTGGAAGGATAGGCCTGGCTTTCCTAGGCTCAGGGAATATGGAGCCATGGCAGCTACCAGTTAAAAAGCTCTCCCAAGGAACTGACTGAAGTCCTTTCCAGGAGGCTTTCTTCCCCCTCACCCTAAGCACACCTATGTGCAGCCCAAATGTGTAACCATAAAACCTCTTGGCACCTATATGGTGCTCCTTAGCATAGAATTTCAAAGTGCTGTGGTGAGCAGCCCCAGGCTCCCCTCTGCTCTGGGGGTTGAGTTCTCTGCCTCAGAGCCTGGGCTTGTCTAAGGAACCTTTTCCTTTAACTACTAGGGAATATTCTCTCTGAGGTACTCGCCCTTCCCACCAAGAGAGAATCTGGCCTGCTTGCTGTCTTCAGGGTGTTTTGCCTAGGTGTTATTTCTGCCAGCAGGCAATGCGCTGCTGAGCCCCTTTCATAGGGCAGGCAGAGAAGTTGTCACTCTCCTGAATTCAGGTGGAAAAACCTGCCCTGGAGAGTGAAGCTGTGCAAGCCTCCTGAATCCTGGGCTAATACCCTACTTATTAGGCTTCCTCCTTCCAATTGGTGTGCTTTCTCCTAAATAAGCCACCATCGCATACTCCCAGCTGCACTGGAACAGCCTCTGGACTTTGAGGTCTGAGAAACCCAGAGCCTATCCTCATGCTGTTGATAGCAGCAACTCCTCCCTCTAGAAGCACCAACTGCCTGTCTGATGGCATCAAAGGAGTTAACTTCTGTAAAATCTACTATATGTAACCACCTGCTCTGCCCTGCTTTATTCTTCCCTAATACAAGGTTTAGGATTGTTGTGGGGCAGAAGTTCCTCTTTTCTCTGGTTTCTTCAACTCTCTCTGTGATCCCACCTGGTCTCCTCTCATCAATTCACCTAGAGTGGGGGCAAGGGTGCAGCTCTGAAAATAAAGAACTTCTTAAGAAAGCAATTGGCGTGGTCTAGCCATGTCACCGATGAGCTGATGCCCCTTGTTCATCTTTCGTCTTGCCTTTAGCCTGCTTCTCTGCACTGCTCTCCAGGGTCTTTGGGCAGGGTCTGTGCACAGTCTGGGCTGTTTCTCTTTGGCTCAGTTTGAAGCATGTTGTTCTTGTTATTGGGGGGAGCGGGTATATATCTGGGAACACTTTTGTTTAAAAGACAAAATATCTAGATGGAGAGTGCAGCAGCTGACAGTGGGACCTGCAGAATGGTGTAATTGTTTCACCGCTAAACAAGGGTGAAGGACTATTTGTTCAACACAATTGTATCTGGAAGCTTTTCCTGAGATTCTTAAATCCTTTTCAGTTAATTTCTGCAGAAGATTTTACAATGCTTTTCATCCCTTTTGTCTTTAGTATTTGAGCATTTGTCTGCCCCACTTTCAGCTTTGACTAGTATCACTCATGAGATTTCTTATATGAGAAAACTGTGACTAGAATAGGAAAACTATGTTTTGTGGTGGTGGCTGCTGTTTTAGTACTTACATTCTGCTCTCCAAGTTGGTAAGGAATTTCAGTGACATGATAACCTGGAAAACAGCACTTTTGGTGCTGGATGAGTTTATTTCAGTAAACTGGGGATTAACCCCAGTTTACTCTCCTGTATCTCTTTAGCACAGTAAAACATTCCGTCCTTTAGGTAGAACATAATTTAATTTGATTCCTTAGCCATGGCCTTCCAATACTTGGGCTGCTACTTTAGCTTTATTTCTATGCAAGTTTTTAGCATATTGTGTTAAGAGAAGACGTGTTTATGTGAAAGATGTCCTCTACTTCTCTAACTTGTGCAACTTTTCCTGACTGAGGTTCCACTTTTTTTTTGCCTATGTTTTATGGATTATTGTGGTGTTGCTGCTGGAATTCGTTATAGCTTTATGTACAGTCCTGGAGGCTAAACCTTGTACTCTTAAGTGTGGCACTTGGTCTCTTTCACATCAATTAGATTAATTCTGTGGATATATAGGAAAGGGAAAAGAGGAGGAACCTTGACTGCATTCCATTTTATTGAGAAAAAAAAAAAAAGCCAACATTTAGTAGCAGCAGGGCTTGTACCATCATGAACATAATAATTCAGCCTATTCTGAATTGGTAAAATGTCTATGCCCAGGGCAAAAATTACAAAAGCAGGGAGTTAGAGATGTTCTGTGTCAACTGGAGCAAGAATTAGTTTCTTTCTCAGAGGGGAGAAACAAACCTGGCAGCTCCTAGGAGCTCCTAGTCACAGACAGATACTGAACCTACCTCTGTCTCCTACTCATGCATCTCAGTCATACACACATGCAGGTGGAAGGAGCCATCCCCTGAAGGGGGAATCAGACAAATTAAACAGTGCAAGAAGGCAATGTATTCTAGTAAATTGACTCTATCTTGGACAAGGTCTTTGGTCCTTTTGCAGCACAGTGAGTGATTTAGGGCAGATGATTCCCTAAGGTCCATTTAGATGCAGTCAGGCTGTGCTGGAGCTCAAAATATTTAAAGGTATGTCAGCGGCCACTGGAATTCCGGAGCCAACGAACAGGCACAGGCAGGATCTAGTTCACTGCCACTGAAGCACTGAAGTGTCCTGAAATGCAAAACCTTGCCTTTGTGGCTACTTGCCTTCAGGAACAGGCTGCTCCAGCGTGGGTCCCTTGCTGGGTCCCAAATCCTGCAGCAAGCCTGCTCCACAGTGGACTTCCATGGCCTGCAGGGGCACGGCTGCCTCACCATGGGCTGCACCACAGGCTCCAGGGGAATCTCTGCTCTGGCTCCTGGAGCACCTCCTCCCCTCCTTCCTCACTGACCTGGGTGTCTGCAGGGCTGTTTCTCTCACACATTCTCATTCCCCTCTCCAGCTGCAATTGCTCCTGAGCAGTAACATTTTTCCTTCGTAATTATGCTATCCCAGATGTGCTGCCACCATCATTGATGGCTTCATCCTTGGCCAGTGGTGGGTCCATCTTGGAGACAGCTGCCACTGATTCTATCAGACACAGGGGAAGCTTCTGGCATTGTCTTGTAGAATTCATCCCTGTAGTGTCCCGTCCCCCCCCCCCAAAACTTTGCTGTGCAAATCCAACACAGCTTAAAAAAATATTCTCCTTATATTCTTGATAAAATCCAAAAGATTGTGAGAAATCTAACATGGGTTAAAACAAAACAGAAGCATATGGGATATGATTAAATATAGTTACATCTTGAGGGCCAGTGCTACCTGCATAAATTTGAACATAGCTTCTTTTTGAGACACTGATGGATTTCACGCTGTTTGCTGCAATATGCATGTACCATGTGAGAAGAGGACAGAGTCAGAGTAGGCTGAGCCTTGGACTAAAAAATGGTCAAAGACAATTGTATTTTCTTTCCAACAAACAGAGGGAAAGAGAAAAAGGGAGGGATACTGTAAAGTTTTGACTTTACAGTGCTCTGCTATAGGGTGTGTCCACAAACCTAAAACCTAAGCCATATGCCCCACAGGGATGTGCTGATACATCCATCCCGGTGAGGATGGCTTTTCTAGCCTGTTAGCTCCTGGTGCCTGCTCTAGCTACGCCTTGTATCTGCCCTTGGAGAAAAGATTAATCTGTCTTAACTTGCTCCACACAACTCAGCCCTGGGATTTGCTCCTCTTTCTGCATTCCTGGCCTCAGCACAGACAAATCTGATGAATCAGTCTGCAATGGGATTTACAAAACAACCCCTGTTTTTTGGTGGTGTGGCAAGAACTCTGTGATGTCTGTAGGAAGAAAGTCAAAGTAATTAAGACTAAGTTCTCAAGAGTTTGATTTTGGTTTGTGCTTTACAGGACTGTTACTAGCTGTAGGAAAAGGCTGATCTGACAGCTTTTAATAAGGAGCTATTATGGTTACTAGAGCCATCCTAGGTTTCAGTACACCTTGAGGGTAAGATTTTGCATCTTTCTGATACCTGAATCAATTTATTTCATGTCAGAGAGAAGGAAGAACAGGAAGATATTTCAGCCTGATCTTATTTGTTCTAGCAATTTGATGTAAAAACTGCTTCCATAATTTATCAGGCATTGAGGCAAGGAGGTTTTATACATTAAATACAGAAATATCATATATTTTTGTATATATTAATAAAGCAGAGAGGATTATAACAGCAATTTATCTATACAAAATGTCTGTTTATATTTCATTTTCAATATTTAGCAGTAATTGCTAGATTTTACTTAACAATCAGATATACAAAATACAAGCTATGACACTGGTATTTATTTGTTTGTGAGCAAAGATATTCTCATTATTACTTAGTTTCTTGATTTTTTAGGTACAGTGGAAAAGTGGATAAATAGACAATACTTGAACTAACCATACATGTTCTTCCTCATCCTAGTATTAAAGTGCGTACAAACCAATACACATAGTATCCTTATAGCGTTGTCAATTTTTTTGTTAAAATTCAGTTCAAAACCTATGGATTTACTATTGTCCTTAATACCCAGAAGATCTGTCAGAACAGCAATTAGGTAAATCCTAGGAAGATCAGTCGGCTTTTCTTTTTTCACTTTTGTATCAGAATAGGTTTAATATTTCTCAGAAGCTTATTACTAATAAAAAAAAAAAGAGACATAAAAAAGCAAAAAGACTTCTGTTTTAGCAAGCTGCAGCTCAGGTTTTTAGGCAATCCTACATCACCTTCCATCACCACGTCATATGTACAGCACTGGCCCTCGCTCTCCCTCCCTTGTTCTGTCCTCCTCTCACAACCCATGCTCTGGCAAGGAAGAAATTTTGCTGTTTTTTTGCTTGTAAAGACCCTGAGCGTGCCGGGGCGAGTGCTCCAGGTGGAGTCTACACCCGCTTGACGCTGTTGAGGAGCTCCGTCAGTTCGCTGATGTACTTGATGGTGTACTTCAGGGTTTGTATCTTGGTGAGGGGCTGTCCCCTCTGGCTGTAGACCGGGGGCAGGTAGTTGCGCAGTGTGTGGAGCGCGTCAGCCAGGGTCCTCATCCGCAGCTTCTCCCTCTCGCTGGCTTTCCTCCTGCGCTGGGCGGACATCCTCACCTTTGTGCCCTTGGGCAGCCGAGCCTGCCCGGGGCTAGGTAGGTAGGCAGGAGGAAAGTCCACCAGGCTGTAGCCCACCAGGCTGCCACTGCTGCTGCTGTAGGGGGTCTCCACTGCTGCTGGGCAAGGGGATGAGGAGTAGGATTCAAAGGAGGGTGCTGGGGATAAGCTGTGCGGAGATGAGACAGGGTGCAGCTCGAAAGACCCAGTGGTGCTTTTCCAGTCCCAGGACGATAAGCAGACAGAGTGTTCTGAACCCAAAGCGTCTTCCATGTTTATCAGTGTCTCATGCAGTTTGTCCATGCTGGAGGAGCGCTCGGGAGAAGCAATGCCCTCTGCCTGCCAGCAAAGGCTGGAGCCGCCGGCTGCGGAGACCTTTTTATGATGGAGGGAGGAAAGTGACAGAGTGGGAACGCGGGTTTGGTGAGAGGAGTTCAAAGGAGCAGCACAAGTGCTAAGATGGAAAATGAACTCCTGATGTGCTAGTTTCTTCTCAGTGATAATTATCAACCTTCAGCTAAAAAGCCTTTAAGCTAACAGGCAACAGAAATAAAGGAGGAAAAAAGATTATCTTCTTGCAACTAAACCAATTAAGGCTGCGGATCTACATTTAACATTGTACTGGGGGATAAGTGGTAAGAGAGGAAAAAGAAAATTAACCTTTTTACAAACAATTTACAGACATAGAATTTAATGGCTGCTAACACAAACTCTGATTTTAAGCCATTGAGCCCTGATTTCTGTGTAACTGAATGCAATGGCACTACAGCAGGGATGATTTGATTTGTGCTCACTGCTGCTGAAATAGTCTCTCATTATCAGCAACTTAATCATGAAAGTCAAAGATGTTTTTTTTTGGATTTGTCTGTGTTACGGCTCTTTAAATCCTCTTTTCCTGAGATTGCAGCTTCCCTCTGGATCACTTTGGTTTTTAGCAGCAGAAAGGAGAAAAGAACAGCAATGCATTCCCCCACAACTTGTAGATTCATTTGCTACTTTAAATCATGACTGGGAAATCAAAAAAGAAATCTGTAATTGTAAACAAAGTACCATTAAAAAAAAAAGAAATAGGAAAATATAATCTTACAAAGAAGTCTATTAAATAAAATACAGTGTATCAACTTTGGGCCTAGATAAATATTTTACATGGAAATGTCATCCAAAGAAATTTACAGATTACACGTGTGTAAGAGAAGCCTAGCTCTTTCTGTAAAGTTTTCTGTCTCTAGGACTCCATTCTTCTGCCAAAGAAACCTTTTCCCAGCCCTGACTCAACTCAACAGTGCAATTATATACTAGGCAGTTCAGTGAAAACATATATCCTATAAATTAATAAGATTAATTATGAGCACTTTTCATATCTAGGCTTCAGAAAAGCTTATAGTGATGATAAATGACCATTATTACGCTGCGAAAATGGATAAGCAGAAGCAAGGAGTAATTTACCCAAAATCACAGAGCAAATCGTTAAGAGAGCCAGGAAAACTGTCCAAAACTACTGAGCTCTGCAGCTATACTGAGCAGCTTGACTGCCAGCCGTGACTTTGTATCTGCCCATAAAGGAAGCAAAAAAAAAAAAAATATATATATATATATATAACGAAAAGAAGGGGAATAAGAATGACAATTTGGGGTAAAAGAAAAGTAGGATTTAGTTCAGAGATTTATTCTGTGGTAGCGTTCTCTGTATGCACCATAATCCACTCTGAAAAGTGGGGGGAATGCTTCAGCTGTGCCATTCTAGAATACACTTCTTTCTGACTGTGAAATCCTCACCTCAACTACAGAGAAAAACAACACAACAGTCCAATATTCACCATAATCATTGTGAGGGTTTTTGTGAGTTTTGGTAAGTTCAGAATCAAAATGCTGGGAAGCAGCTTGTGGGAGACAGCGATTTTAAGCTGAGCTGAGTAAGAATCAAAGAGTGAAGGATTTTTGCACTTCATCCCAGGCTGAGACAGTTGGACTATGATGACATCTAGCCCCTGTTGGCACTGCTGGGATAAATGTTGGATTTGATGATGTTAAAGGTCTTTTCTAACGTAGTTAATTCTATGATTCTGTGCAGAAACTCAGGGCACAGCTCTCCACAGTGAGGATTGCATTGGGGTTTTATGGTTACCCTGCCATTTTCTGAGCTCTGCTTTACTCATTTAAGGAAAATGAGTTGAAAGAGTCACAGGAATCACAAATGCCTGCTACAGATTAAAATTAACACAAGATGAATGACAGGTATTTTCTGTGACTTCAGTGAACAGATGTGTTTCATTGAGCATCAAGACAATGGTCACAAGGCCAGAAGTTAAACACGAGGCCTAATTTGGCATAAACAGGGGATTCATTTTTGTCCCACTTAAAATCTCTTTCCCACTCTTTTTCCCTTTTCCTCACCGTATTTGTGTCTATGGTGCCTTTTCCATTTGTGTGTCCTTGCTTTTACTTTATGTCTTTCCCTTTTTGGTAAACACAACAATTAGAAGGCTACAAATATAAAAAACCGGGAGTGGGAGGTGGAAGAGGAGGGACTTCTGTCAAGGTATGCCAAGAAAAAGGAGCTTGCAAATATATGTGTGTGTGTGTGTATATAAATATATTAAAAAACACACATATTGAACATATATGTATATATATATATATAAACTGCTCTGTTCAGCAGTTTTGATTATGGAATCATATGTTAATTATAGGCAGTCCAATTTAGAAGCAAAAATCTCAATATGTCACTTGTTTGCTGATTATAAACAATGCATGTTGCCAGTTTCTTTGTATTCCTCTTTTATGGGTAAATCATAGAAAGTGTTGCTCACACACCAAGGGGGAAAAGATTTTGTGCATGTCCAAGCTGCTGTTACTGTAGAGGATGGGTGAACACTGTCTGATTTCATCTTTGTATTCTAACATTTAGGGATTCAGATTAGATTGCACAGGGAAGAGGAATGCAAATTATAGCGATAGCTATATCTTTTCTTAAATCTTATGGGTAAATGTTTAGAGTAAGCATGACAGGATATTAGAGCATGTGGACAACTGCTCTGCTTGCATGAAAAATCACTGTATCTTATAAGCTTATGCTCTTCTAAACTGTTTCGCAGGCACAAAAAATTTACAGGCTTTTCTGTATTAAGAGATAAGAGGTTAATGCTCATACTTGAAAACTGTCTTGCATCTGTGCATCCTTGTTTATTACCATCATATTCCCTGGTGCTATTTGAGCTTGGACCCACCTAGTTATGTCCCAAATGTTGCCTAACTGTGATTCAGGAGATGCCACCAGAGGCATAGGCATGAGCAAAGGTTTTACCCATATGAAAGCAAGTTGTGACGTAACACATCTTCAGAGCCAAAGAAGGAGCTGTGGCCCTGTTGCTCTACTGCTGTAGATGCAGCCAAAGGTTCAGTTTTGAAAAACAGCCACCCATGTATACCCACAGCCCCTATGTTCTCCAAATGTACCCACATGAAGTGTGCCTCAGTTTTGGCCAAATCAGGAAGCTATGTAATCTCTCTCCACAATCCCTGTATGATCCATAGCCTATGGGATGTCTCTCTCCACATTTGCTGTACATAGCCTATGTAAGCCAACAGAGTCTCATGGTGTGTAGTTTTGGATAGCACTACATTTCCATCCATAAATGCAAAAATCCTCATTTAGGAAACTATCTTGCAAAGTAGAGACAATGTAACAGGCAGAAATTACCAGAACAGGTCACAGTGTTGTTTTATAACAAGGCTTTAAAAAGCACTATACAGAGCAAGGCATGGCTACAGGCTGGAGACCAGATTTATTTATCTATAGGCTATGACTATTTAATGTTTTCTCACTAAAGAGCTAAGAAAGTCTAATATGTCAGTTGGCACCTTCCTGGAAAGTAAATCTGTGGGGAAAATAAATCTTTATTTCGTACGCAATCTTTATTTCATTCTACCTCTCACAATTTTTAGGAATTCCCTTTTTGTCTGGCAGTAATGTCAGAACATTGAAGGCTAGTGAGTTATAAGGTTAACAACAATGAAACACAAACTGACACTTAACAATTGATGAGGCATTTTCTGCTTGACTGATAGTTTTGATTTTCCTGTCACTAATTTATCCTGCACTGTAAAGGCTAACAATTTAATCTTCATCTCTTTTAAAATGAAAGGTTCCTTGCTCATTTTTCTGAATTCATTACAGAAGAGAGGAGAAACATGTGAGGAACAAAAAGTTTTCTGTTCACAAACAAACATACATGGAATAGAAAACTTTTAGAGCTTCCATATGTGTCTGATTCAGGTTTTAAATTTACAGTAAGTTGTGCAAATAATCACTGTCATCCTCAAGTATGGTAGATAAACAATTTTTTTTTGTGTGAAGTTATTTAAAGACTGATCTACTTTATTTAACTTTTATTAGAGTATGTTTCCACCAAGCTGTGAGTTTGGTAGGAGAAACAGAATTGTAACAAAAGTAAAAACTCATATTGGATGAGAAGAATGAAGAGGTTGAAACTGAGTAAATATGGATAAATGTCTTTCAATAACACTACTCCCATAACAGTCAGTTTCCTTTACAATTAGGATGGAAGTCTAGTATTTTATTGACAAGAAGCAGACCATACAAATATCCTTGTAGAGCACTTAGATGATAAAGCCTCATCTTGCAGTTTGTACCATGAAAAAAAATCTATGTCTCAAAAGCTTTTAAAGTTGCTTCTCATTTAATAAGATATTTCCCAAGTATTAGCTGCTACTCTGCCCACTTGCTGAGAAGGTGGCTGTCACCATCCAGCTTTACAGAGGTGTGGATGAGGAGTCAATCCCCCATATATAAAATGTGGGGCAAGCAGCTGCAGGTCTCACTAACTCCAGCAGACGCAGCAGGTGTTCAACACTTCTGAAAAATAGTGTTGAACACCTCAGTTTACACCCAAGTTGGCAATAAAGGAAGGGAAGGATCCACCACATCTGTTATCCAGAGTCACATGAGCCACCAGACAATGCTTCTCTCCTTCTTAAGGCTTTCCCTCAACTTTGACAGATGCATTTATTTTTAAATGTGTAGATTTTGCAGCTTTTTTTTTAACTTGTGGAAGATGGTTTAATCTGGGTCCAACCTCTATTGAAATAGGTTAAGACATCTAGGTAAGCAAGCTGGTCAACAAATGCATACTTTTTCTCCTTTTTCTTTTCCTTTTCCTTTCTCTGTTTCCCTTTCCCTTTTCCTTTCATTTTTCTTTTATTTCTTTTTCTTCTTCTTTTTCTTTTTCTTTACCTTTTCCGTTTTCTTTCTCTTTCTATTTCTCTTTTTCCTTTTCTTTACCTTTTCCATTTTCTTTCTCTTTATCTTTCTCTTTTTCCTTTTCTTTACCTTTTCCATTTTCTTTCTCTTTCTCTTTTTTTTCTTTTTCTTTTCCTTTTTCTTTTTCTTTTTCTTTTTCTTTTTCTTTTTTATTTTTCTTTTTCTTTTCTTTCTCTTTCTCTTTTTCTTTTTCTTTTCCTTTTTTATTTTTTTTTTTCTTGAGGTTAATATGCTAAAGAACATGGATGAACAGCCAGCTACAATTCCCTGTAACTGGGAAAGAAGGCAGTAAGAGAACCATGACTGGTCCTGAGTCCAGCCCTATGAAAAGGAAGCCACAACCCTTACTATAATCCATAAAAACCATGTGTAAATTGGATGTCTAATTGTTATTACTGCCTTTGTCCAAACAAACTTGTGGCTAGCACAAAAGAAAACACTGTTATTCATTTGTAGTAAGACCAGAAATAGGCTAGTTCTAGTGCTGCTAAAAATTCCTGCCGTAAATGTTTAAAACTGTTAATGTTCTCAAGGGCACAAGTCCAAAATACCAAACTAGGAGCCTGCTCATGGAGAAAAGACAGTCAAGTAAGTAACACTGATTTCACGAGGACTTTGTATAGTGACAAGCACCTCTGTGGCATTGCTCTGGTAGGATCAGGACCTATCTATGTGCTTTACATCCTTAAATGTAAGTATTTGATCCTCCAAATAGTGGCAGTCTCCAACGATTGACAAGTGACATCAGCTCCGCAATTCATTTAAAACGTCTGATCTCTAAGCAACTGGCTTCCCAGATGAAAAGGCCTATGTGTGGAATTTACACCTAGCCACCTTTTAAGTAGGGAGTTTATTACCTAGTGGTTTTCAGCTGATATTTAGGAATGTCTTTTTAATACCCCTGTTAACAGAAGTTGAAAGGAGGTTTGACTATGTGGTTGGTCTTTAATGTCTACTGGCTGCTTCAGCCAGAAGGAAAGGGCAAAGCTGGGGGAGGAAGGGGAGCCTAACAAGGTGTATT